TTCGCTTAACAGTTCCCGATTTTGAAAAAGACTTAAAAGCGAAGAAGAAAAATAAACACAACGAAATGCTTCTGTTTTTTTCTTAGATAAAAGTGTTTGGATCTGTTCCGTGGTCAAAATAGTAGCAAAAAAAGAAAAGTGATAGCAAGTAGAGCAATTACTCTGTTAGTGTACTGTTATTAAACTGTGACATAAAGGGCACCAGTGGTGTAAATATTAAAATTGGTATCTCAACTTCAAGTACAACTGTACAAGTAAAGTGTTATCGCATAGTCTACAACTCTACAGCCTAAAACGTGTAAGGGAGAGCAAGTTCTAATAAATTACGGAGTCCGTATGCAGCAGGTGTATGAAATTAAAATGATTGGATAACTGATCTGGAAATCAAGAAACAGATGGGAAACTAATAAAACATTTCTCCGTTTTAAGGCCCAAAATTTCGCATTTTAGGTTTAAGGTCATCTATGCAGTTAATTAAAGTGATAGGCAGTTTTTCAGGAGACATTATTGTCATTTGTAGACTTTGGTATGTATGTTGTAGAATTTTACGCTTCGTCCATAAACACTTTACCTACACTTTACCTCCAGGTTGCACTCATGCGTTTTAATTTTTGCACTAGGATATGATTTGTCCATCGCATTAATTATTCCGCGCAATTTGCGCGGGGTCTCCTAGTACGTGAATAAAACTTTTATCAGTTCGCCAGGAATAGCTAAAAAAATAAAAATGAACTAAAAACCAGAGCAACAAAATCTATTTGTGCAGGGAGCAAAGTGTGTAACTGGGTATCAAGGAAAAGATTTGGAGACGACGGTCACGGGGGTACGGTCACAAAGGTTCGGATTAAAACGATTTACCGGTACCGAACTAGTATCATTACAATTTAGTGTACAAATAGAGTGATCAAATTACTAGCCCGATAGATGGGTGAGTAACCGCACTACCGCTACTCTCCACGTTCCGCGCGAAAGTGCCTGTTTGTTGCACTTTACCCATTGAAACTTAAAATCACTGCGCAAAAAAAGGTGTACTGTTCACTGTCCTCTACGAAGCGCGCAGGGAACACATCTTATTCTTTTATTACTAAACCATGTTTCTAAAGGATTTTTATCAGAACTCTAATATTTTACCATTTTTTTCGAATTTCTAGCAACTCGAGGTGTAAAAGCATGCATCGGTTTCGCGCTCCGCGCGAAAATCTACTGTCTTTCTAAACTGTGTACATGATAATATAGCATTGTTGTTGTAGCATAGCATTGTTGTTGTCCGTTGTCCGCTGTTGTCCGTTTAGCATCCGCTGCAGAAATATTTTAATAACGTATCTGTATCTTACTTATTTTAGGTCATTTTTATAGAATTTCAAGCAATTTCTGCGATGAAACCGTGTGCCGGCTTCGCGCGAATATTCACTGGTTTTCTGAACTCTGAACATAAATATCGCATTGCTTTTTGCCTTTTGACTTCCGCTAAAAAAATATTTAGTTTATTTACGCTCTTTTTTTTTGAATTTCTTGTATTTCTGCAGTGAAAGCGTTCGCCGGCTTCACGCTTCGCGCGAAAATATCCTTCTAACATGTAATTTTTGACTTAACATCTTGCTGCACCAACAATTTCGATTCAGTTCGAACTTTGTATAAAAATTTTTATAAGTTTTGCGGTAAGTAATCTTGCTATCTTTGAGGTTCTTGGGTTCTCAGTGCCCCTCCCGCCCAAGCGAGTTAAATTCGAATATGCACCAGACTCGGTGGTGCAAGTCTGTCGGGCGAAACAGTACTGACAACTGGATATCGACAAAAAGTGCCAGGATAAACAAGTGTTTCTATGAGCCTACGCGGCTGCGCTGACTTCCCGGGCAGCTTAGGCGCAGGGCTCCCAACCGCCACAGGGGCGCATCCTGGCGAGAATCATCGATTGAGTTACTTATTACTACTTATTCTTCGCCACACCGCACTGAACGAACTGATTCGGAGAAGTTTGGTCACCGCTAAAACGCCGGCTGTACTGGAGCCGCTTGGAACAAGTGACGAAGACGATCGCCGTCCGGACGGTGTGTCGCAAATGCCTTGGAAGAACGGTTTACGGCTAGCCTGGGACGTGACGTGTGTGGATACCGTCGCATTTTCAAACGTTATCAGCAGCAGCGTTAAGGCTGGAGAAGCGGCCCGAAAAGCAGAAGACGAAAAGCGGCGGAAATATGAATATTTAGCACCTGAGTACTACTTTGTTGCAATGGCTTTTGAAACTTTTGGCGTCGCTAGCCCTTCATTTATTAAGTTTTTGCGAGAATTGGGCAGGCGGTTAAAGGATGCTACGGGAGAACGACGCTCTTACCAGTTTCTGCTACAGCGTATTAGCATTGAAATACAGCGGTGGAATGCGCTGTCTGTGACTTCAACCGTACCGCGTTCTGATGGTTTTAACGGTGTTTACTTTGTTTTATAATGTTGATGTTAAAACGTCTGAACGATAAGCAAACCAGTAAATTCTTCTAGTCTTATTACTAGTACTGCAATGTGCTCATTGGTAGTGTTGGGTCGGCCCGGCCCGGCCCGGCCCGAGCAAGAGGGCCGGGCAGTGATATTTTTTCCCCGGATGTCATTATGCAAGCGGCTACAGCGTGTATGTCAACGGAAAAATAGACGGATTTTCGCCTAGAAACGTTTATTGCTGTGAAAATTAAGAAAAACTCATTGAAAACTACTAAATTTCAGTAAATCGCAATGAAATTTTTTGTTTTTCTACGTCTTTTTCAATATTTAGCGTCCACAACGGGCCACGGCCCGGGCCGAGGGCCGCGGCCCTGGGCCGGCCCAACACTACTCATTGGCATGTGCGTTAATTGTGGAATATGAGGAGCTCCATAGTCCATACTTACATCACACGCATGGATGATAAATACAATTTTATTAAACTATTCGTACAATAAAGAGCTACTATCGCGCGGAGCCCGAAGCTAAGTGTCGGTTCCACTGCGAAAATCGTTAAACAGTTAACCGAAAAAATTCACCTTTTCGGTTTTTTTGCAAAAATAGTTAACAGTTTTAAGCAGTACTTTCTCCTTAACTTTTTCGAAGTACCCACTGAAAAAAAATTCGGCGGGGCGTAAGTGCCGGCGTGCTTCATCTTTAAATTCGTTACTGCTACACGGTTATAATTCATCCAATGGTACGCAGAGGTGGCAGTTTGTTCAGTTCGCCAGCCTGATGCACAAAACCACAGTCGGAATTTCGTTAAGGCTTAATTTACGCGATTGCTAGTATTAATTTTACCGCGTATGCAATCGTAGTGCATATGAAGCCGCGTATTTAACATACTTGTCTAAGTGTGGACAGTAGAAGTATTTAAAAGGTTACAGACCAAGAATATGTGCGGGACTGGCCCTTTGACCGCTTCCTCGCCGCCGTACCGTTTGCTTGTTTACTTAGTCAGCTCCGTTCAATGCATTCAGAGCTCAAATAGGAAAGACAGTAACGTGAGTGGCAGCTACTTCCATCTGGCGTCTGCTGGTCACTGTTATATTATATGTCCCCTGGTAGCATTTACGTGAACAATACTGAACAGACGATTCTAATCTCTGTCTAGTGGTATTGTAACTACAATAGAAGCTTTGAGCAACTGCTCCACTTAACCATAGCCATACACTTAACCATACTATATGGTTAAGTGCGAGCGTATGGTAAGTGTGAATACCATACAAACGTGTCGTATGGTGATGGACTTTCAAAGGCTCCCCTTAACACCTGCCCAATTTAACTCCCCCAGATATACACTTTTTGAATAGAGAAAACAATTTTGAATGTAAATGTAATTTTTTGGAAAGAGATCGTTTCACGCAGTGCGAGAAAACAAATTAAATCTGAAGGGACCCAGAGTCAGCTATGCGCCTTCGCTGAGTACTTTGTACACTGCTACCTCGATGGCGGTCGTCCAACTACACGATAAGGGATGGTTAAGGTATGGTTATGGTGTTTTCTGCTCAAAGCCTCTAATAATAGCACATTCTCGTATGCTATAGCTACTGGGTCACAAAAGTGATTACGTGTCTATGGACTATGACTGCCATCATTACCATGCATTTGTTTCATGAAATCGGTTTTGCCATTACACTGCAGTTAAAAGCTGGCAACGAAATAATGTTATGTTGTATGCAGTATTTCCATATTTACTTTAATATAACAGCATAAATACCTAAATTAATTCATTATACTATACAAAAGCACATAAGTAATTTCACAATTAATAATAAGATCACTACGAGTAAATACCGTATTGTACAGTAACGACGAATTAGTCCAGTACAGATATACGAGTACAGTATATGTATGTTGAATATCGACTCGTCGTTTGCGGTTTTGTTAATGGCATGTTGTATCGACCAGTAACAGTTTCCCTAATATGCCGCTGTTACACACAAATGTTACCATTGTTACACTTATGCAAGGTAACAGGCCGCTGATTCGTCGGCTTCTATTTACTTACGAAGCGGCTGTTCCATGTTCAAAGCGGTAGGCTCTGTCCGCACTTAGACAAGTATGTTAAATACGCGGCTTCATATGCACTACGATGCAATACGGTTACGCAGTTAATAAATAAGTACACAGACCTTTAATGGGTATCCCATGTAAGTGCAAAATGAGTACTAAAACAAACGAGATTTAAAGCAAAAACACTTCTTTAATGCGATTGTACCCATAACACATATCGCGTTTATATAAATAAGTTAGCTTAAAAAAGTACATTATAATTACAGAGGATATGAAAAACGAAAATGCTGTGCGCCCCAAAATTTTAGGGCGCATATAGGAGTGACCTATAAAAAACCGATGATATGGTATTTAACCGGGCGAAATTTAACTGACCCATTTTTTAGTGTTCTAAATGCAACTTTTATCCATGATTCCAACAGAGTTAGGTAAAAAAATAGGTTAATAGGGTGGACCGGTAAAACGGTACATTGTCAAAGTTTTAGAAGAAATTCAGATGCTAAGTTAACACTCACCATAATCAGGCCACAATCTTTGCTGTCGCCCATAGCAGAAAGATGCAATTAAAAAAACCAATTGCTTATGTAATGTGCTGGCGTCACAGATGTCAAACACAAAAATTCTGTCACTTTCTTAGTAGTCTTACTGAATTGACTAATTTACGAGAAAACAAAAAAACATCCTTTCCGCAATGCGTACAGGCAAATCACAACAATGATTTGATTCTTGAATGTAAAGATCTCTGGATTCCAGATTTTCTAGCAAGAGCTTGTGTGAAGAACTAAATGTACTGACACACTGTAGTCAGCAAATGTAGCTGAGTTTCAATCTGTCTGCCGTCAGGCCATTATTATGCACAGTGCACACCCTTGTGCGTAGTCATGGCCCATGAATATGAGATTGAGTACTTAATACCACAGTCGGTAAAAAGCTAAAGCTAGTCCAGACAGCGCACGCTTGCTGCCTTTGCTGAGTTGCTCCTATGGATCAAGGCTCCGTTGCTCGAAAGCCAAATAATTCGCTAGAACAGCGAATGCATTTCGAACAATGGGTTGTGTCCGAGATTTATCATAGCACAAATGAAGGTCTGTTATATACAATACAGACCAGGACAGGTACATCCACTTGAGAGAATTCCAGTGCCTCAGACAGAAACCATCTTCGCGACAAGATCTCGGATTTAACATGGCCTACTGGACTTTGACCGACCTACTCGTTGTTTACTTAGTCTGTGCAGTTCAGACTATTCACTATTACCATCTGCGCGTAGACGTATAGCGGTAGCAGACAGACTGTACCGGTAACAACAGAAAGCGAATATGGTTTCCCCATTCACACGGGGCTAGCTAGTAGTAGCTACTTAGGTAATTTCTATAGGCTTATAACGGTACCTTTGTTACGGTAGCAGACAGATAAATTATTGGTACCAAAAGAGGATGCCATGGTTTCCCCATTTTGCATTTGGCCAACTGACTAGAGAGTCTCTACTCTCTATAATGTGAGACTCAGAAGTAATTGCAAGAAAAACGGTGAAACCTGAATAGCATGCACCAAGCCACAGTTGATACGCTTTTCATTTAGCTATTCTGGTGACTTTTATTATAGCGGTTTTCTGCTGTTGCGTTAAACACCAAAATATGATGTCAGGTCAACTATAGTGTAAGTGAAAACCGCCAGAGCAGTAAATATTATGGTGGTAATGCAGCTCTGGAATCGGCACCAGCTGATCTGAATGATTCGTTGCAGTGATTTTTTGTTTTGTTCGTTCGAGGATATATTGCAATTGTTTTCGTTAATTATCATTCTGTGTCAACTTTTCGTATTACCTTTTTGTTCTGTGCTGTTTTGTCGTTCAACGAATCGTCAATAAATAAT